CACCCAGGGAGGACCCACACCCAGGGGGACCCTCACCCAGGAGGACCCTCACCCAGGGAGATCTGGCCCTCAGGAGCACGTGTGCATGCATGACTTGGTTGATGCTCTCATGTGACCAACTTGGAACCCTCACGGGACCTGCACACTCAGGGGCTCTGGGGAGGAGACCATCCTGGCTCTTGAGGATGGGAACAAGCTGTGGGGACTGGCTGGCCACTCTTAGTCACCACTGTGGCCAGAGTGACCCAAGCAATAGTGTGTGTCTGCTCAGCCCAAGGAGTAGGAGGACAGTCAGACTTTCCAGAGCACCATTTGTGGCCTCACAGGAAGTGGTGGCCTGACACTAGAGGGGGGGTGTCCCTGGGACACCACCTGGAGGAGGCTGCCCCACATTCACATGCTGATGGAATTGACTCAGTGCTGGGATGGGGGATGCATTTTCAAACTGCCTCCTACTTCAGCACATTCTCTAGTAGGGCTACCCCCACAGAACCCCCAGTGTGAAGCATGACCACATGCTGGAAGGTTCTGTGCAGGAGTGGGCAGTGTTCCTGGAGGAGGTCAGCTGGGGCAGAGCCAATGGTTGTGTCCAAGGGTGGCTGGGCTGCAGGGTGGGGAGTTGACCCAGGGATGCCTGGCAGCAGGGCTCACTGTCTCCTTTAAGCAGGAGGTAAAATAGCCTGGAAAGATGGGGTGGTAGAGGAAGAGGGGGGTCAGGTGGGGGAGAAGCTGTGGGGACTTGGCACCCCTGCATGAAGAGGGGGCCTAGCGGGGCTACACCTGCTCTGAGGGCCTCTTCCTCTATGGTGTGTGGATGGCCATCTCTTCCTGACCCCTCTGTAGTGTGGCTGTGTCTCCAGCCATCTCTCTTCCGTCCTGACTCTGTCCCCACAATCAGGGGGTCTGGGTCCAAGTCAGCCTAGCCTTACTGAGCCCTCATGCTCTATTCTCAGTTCCTCGGGTTCCTCTTCAACCCCCTGCACCTGTGCTCTTGGATCAAGGATGAGTGGAGCCTGCTCTATGAGACTACCCATGTCAAGGAGAACTGGATCGATCCCCTGATGAGGTGGGTCCGCAAACTGGGACAAGGGCCTGAGCAGGTGGGTGAGTGGGGGACGGGTGTTCTATGAGGAGTGGAGTGGGTAGTTGTGTCCTATTGGGGTGGGGAGCTGGAGACTCAGAAGAGCCCCAAGTCCCCAAACTATCCTCCATGCTGGGTGGCTGACTAGTGGCTATTTGAGGAGCTGCCAGGTCCTCTGGAGTTCACCCGCTGAGCAGGGAGCTGCTCTGGCCTCTCTGAAGATCCCAGTGGGGGAGCAAGGAAACTGGCAGATGACCCAGTGGACTCCATCCCTGACCCCTCTCTGACATCCAGGAGGCACCACTCCTGGCTGCCTCCTCCACCCCATTGTTGCTGTCGCTGTGTTCCTCTGAGTAGGTTTCAGCTCATAGCCACCCTGTGTAGTTTTCTGAGGCCATAGATCATTATGAGTGCAGAAAATCTCCTCTTTCTTCTGCAGAGCAGCTGGTGGATTCGAACAGCTAATCTTGTAGTTAGCAGCCCAATGCGTAACCACTAGGGTTGTACACTCCCTCACCCCTCCCACCCCCATCATCCCATAGGACCCTGCAAACACAAACTCCAGAGCAGAAGAGCACAGGTCCCTGGGGTCCCTCCGTGGAGAGGCTGATGGGGCCAGGGCACCGCTGAATGAACTTGGGGATGTGCTCCCCACAGGTGACTCCCTTCTGATGGGGCTGCAAGAACTGACCTTTCTGGGGATAGAGAACCTGCCGGTTTTGTCACAACTGGCAGACTGTTTACAGGAGACCTGGAGGTCCAAGGGAGTTGGGAGCCCTTCCTGGTCCCCAAGGAGGTTTGGAGTGTCCCCTGGAGCTGATGCTCTCCCAGAGAGGTGGTCTTCAATCCCCACCAATCCCAGAAAAGCCTCCCAGACAGGCTGTGAAGACTCACTCACAAGGACCTCGGTCTACAGTGCCTCCCACCTCCCACCCTGACCCTCTCTAGGACCCAGCCCTTCACACACCTCCTACCTTCTCCCTTCCCTGGCCAGACCCTGCAGCAAATGCCAGGCTTCAGGTGGCGCTGAGATAAGCAAGTGCTTCTCCCTTCTTGGTGGTTCTCATGGTGGGCCTACAAGACATGTGGAAGCAGGGAGAGAAGGGTCCTGACACTCTTGTGACCAATAAGGCCCTTCTTGAAGCCCTGGTCCATTGCCTCTCCAAGACCCCCAGGGAAATGCAGGGTCTGGACTCCAGCCGCTGTACCTATCCACTCCCAAAGCTTCCTTCCCACCTGTCCCCACCCCACAGTGTAGCTCCAAGAACAGCCTTTGGCATGGCAGCGCTTCCCACCCTGCACCCTCTCCCATGCAGTCTGCTCTGCCCCCACTAGTTCCAGATCCAAGTTGCTGCTCCTTAGATGCCCCCCATCCCTGCAGCAGCACCTGCCTCGCCCCCCAGCTTATTGTGGAAGAAGGCTATCTCTGGACCTAAGTTTCCTCATCTGAAAAAGGAGTGTGCAGATGTGTGAGTCACAGGGATGGGGCAGGCACTTGGCCTAGAGAGTGGTGCTTCCCAGGAAAGATGAGGCTGTTACTTCCTTTATTATACACACACACACACACACACACACATACACAACCCAGAGGCAGGTTCCAAGCCCTGGGGGACCCTCCAACACAAGGGTTACCTGTTCACCTGCTCAGGCAGCAGTCCTAAATGGCGTCTCCCTCTGGGTTCTCAGGTGGCAACCAGAGATTCAGGAACTGATCAAAGAGCTGGAGGCAGTGTTGGCCAATCAGGCCCCTGTGGTGAAGACCAAGGCCAAGGTCACAGAGCCTCAGGAGTTCAAGCTAACTGCCCCCAGGCCTCACACTATCCCAGTACCCCAGCCGGTGCCCATAGTGGCCAAGCCCAAGCCAGTAAGTGCAAGTGTCTGAATGTGTGTGTGTTTACCACCACCCACAAGAGCCTTGTTGAGTCTCTATGTACTGGCCTAGCGAGTGGGCCTCATGGGCCAGTGGGGAGCTGGACAGGAGACATGGAACCCATCTCATAGATATGTGTGCTCCCTGTACTGGGGTCCCCCTAAGCAAATGCTGCAAGAAGCTGTTTGGCTGCGGGGCTCAGACCTGCCTGGATTTGGAGCTTGGAGCCCACATTTAACATACTCCCATTAAATATTACATGTGTGGATCACCAATATAGTCTTTGGGCTGTGGAAAGCACGGGGTACCCTGGTCTGTCGCCACCTCAGGTTCTTTGCACATCTGTGTCCTTTTCCCAGAGCCACTCACTCTCTGCCTCTCCCTAGACTTCTATCAGCCAGAATGCTTTGTATTTCTAGTAAGGAAAACAAGCAGGTCAAAAGGGCTGAAACCACAGAGCACTTACTAGGATAGGCTTCAGGCACAGTTCGATCAGGGCTCCAGATCTGCTTCTCCATGATTCTCTCCACCCTGTTGTCTCTGGGTCTGCAACATCCATAGGACAACTTCCCTTGTGATAGCAAAAGCTCCAGGCCTCACACATTCTACATCTTCCAGACAAACAGAGGACATCTAGTGCAAGAATTCTTTGGGAAAGTCTGGTTCAATCAGCTTAATTCACATGTCCTGTCCTTGAACCATTCACTGTGACTGGGGGTGTAATGTCTTGACTGGTTATAAACCTGAGAGCTTGAGGTAGACGCAACTTCTTCCCCCCCCCCCCCCCCCCCCACACACACACACAGAACTGAGAACTGAGTACTCTGGGCCAGGGAAGAGATGGCTCTGGAAGGTCCTGGGACTCACCCTATTCCCATACCCTTTGGGATCCATAAACTTCCTTTCTAGAGCTTTCCCATGAACCCCTCCATTAAATTAATTTCCTTCTTATTGACCCTAGCTCCTTTTCTTCACAACATCAAATATTGTAGTTGTTTAGTTATTTATGTCTGTTTATTGTTGTCTTTCCCACCAGATTTTGTCCATCTTGTTGTTAGGTGCCATCGAGTTGGTACCTATTCATAGCGACCTTACACACAACAGAACAAAACACTGCCCGGTCCTGGGCCAACCTCACAATTGTTGCCATGCTTGAACCCACTGATGCTGCCACTTTGCCAGTCCATCTTGCTGGGGGTCTTCCTCTTTTTCTCTGACCCCTCCACCTTACCAAACATGATATCCCTCTCCAGTCACTGGTCACTTCTGACAATATGTCCAAAGTATGAGAGATGAAGTTTGGCCATCCTGGACTCCAAGGAGCACTCTGGCTGCACTTCTTCCAACACAGATCTGTTAGTTCTTTTGGCAGCCCATGGCACTTTCAATATTCTCCTCCAACACCACAACTCAAAAGCATCAATTCTTCTACAGTCTTCCTTATTCACTGTCCAGCTTT